GCCCGTCCCCTCCCCTCATGTGTGTAGAGGGAGGAGGTGGTGCTGAGGCAAGTGACTGGACTGAAGGCCTGTGGGAGGGGTGCTCCCGCCGCACTGTGTGACCTGGATGGAACCCATGGCTTCTTGGTGGACACAGAAAGTGCCTGAAAGCTAAGAAGTACAGTGCATCCATGGGGGAAGGTGGCCCTGTGGGAGGGGCTGGGGCGGGTCATGTGTGCTATGGAGGACAAAGCAGCATCTCAAAGGGTCAGCTGCGCCAGGCTTGGTCAGCAGGGAACAGCTGAGTCCACAGGAAAAATGCCTCTGCCCTGTCTGTGCTGAGAGCTATACACTTGCTCCCATACTGCAGTACAGGGGCTCCTCTGGGCCAGGCCCCGCCACTGGAGAGAGGACCCCTCCCCCCACAGCGTTGGGGGAAAATGCCCCTTATCCGAATCCCAAATTCATGTACCCAGAAAGGAGAGAGACTCCTTGAAAAAGGGGAGAAATCACTCTGCTAAGGAGTTTGAACTTGAGGTGCCAAAGGAGACCTGTGAACCCAGAAGAAACAGAATCAAGAAGAAGACACAAAGTTGCCTTTCATTGGCAACGTCAAGCCGGACTGGAGGCTCCCAGGCAAGTAAGCTGAGTTCCCAGAATCAAGGAAAAGCCTCTTCTACAGTACATCCCAGGGCAGTGTGTACACTTCAAACTCCTCCCACTTCAGAAGCTTGATTAACAAGATTACCTGAACAAATGAAGTATTCTGGGTGATTGGATTTTTCTATTTAACCAAGATTATCAGGGAAAAAGTGACTACAGATCTTTTACAAGGCAAAAACAAAAACAACCCCCCCCCCAAAAGCAGTGTTAGATGCAACATTTTTGAACTCTTTATATTACTTCTTCTTCCTTGATATGAAAGTAGTATGTGGAACCCGTATTCTCAGCAACCATTTATTTTCTACTTTTGTTACCACAGCTTTTGATTGTTGTTCTGAAATTGATCCTCAGAGCCTTAAAATCCACCATGCCATATACCCATCTTTGTTGTTATTTTTTTAACCAGTGTCTGACAGCAGATTTATTTGGGGGGCTTTCCTTACTTTTTTCCTTTAAAGATTAGATTGAAGGCTTATTATTAAACAAACGAAGAAAGAAAAAACTTTCAAATAAGGAGAAGCTAAAAATACATTTTAAAAATAACTAATTTCGCTTTTTCTGAATCTATACTAATAATGAAGATATGTGTATGTAAACAGAATCAGGCAGATAGGGGACCAACCCCAGCTCCTCACTCACCAGCAGTGTGACCTTGGGGAAGTCACATGAAGTCTTTGACCCTCACTTTCTCTCATTTGTAAAATGGGGATAATACTAGCATCTCTCTTAAGCGGCTGCTGTGAGGATTAAAGATGCATGTCAAGGGCTTAGCCCAGTGCCAGGCACCCTAGTGAGTCATGGACCAACATTTGTTACCGCTATTATTATTTTTGTGACTCTTCTTTTTTGTGTCTTTCCAAATCCATGTTGGGACACCAGAAATTGAACCTGACCAGTTAAATAGGATTAGATGGGAGGAAGCATGGAGAGTACTGAAAAATTAGCATTTCAGTACTATATTCTATAAAGGTAACTGGTAGAGATAAAAATTAGTAAAAGGTATTTATTCTATAAATTATCTGAAATATAATTTAAAACAAAATGTTTTGTCTTTATCTTAATGTTTTTTTCCTTACTGAAAAATACCTTTAGGGACTTCCGTGGCTGTTCAGTGGTTAAGACTCCGTGCTCTGGTCAGGGAACTAACATCCCAGATGCTGCGCGACTCGGCCAAAAAACACCCCAAAACCAACCAACAAACAAAAAACCCCACCTTTATATATAGTAGAAAGTATAAACTAAGAGGTTTGTGAGACAAAAGCTACTTTGCAACATTTTTTTTAATATTCATTTACTTATTTATGTGGCTGTGCCGGGTCTTAGTTGCGGCACTCGGGATCTTTAGTTGCAGCATGAGGGCTCTTTTAGTTGTGGCATGTGGGATCTAGTTCCCTGACCAGGGATCGAACCTGGGCCCCCTGCATTGGGAGCGCACAGTCTTAACCACTGGACCGCCAGGGAAGTCCCCATTTCTTTTATATTGCAGTAAAATATGCATAAGATTCACCCTTTTTAGGTGTATGGTTCTGAGGCATTAAGCACATTCACAATTGTTGTGCAATCCATCACCATCATCCATTTCCAGAACTTTTTCATCACTCCAAATAGAAACTCTGTGCCCATTAAACAACTTCCCTTTTTCCCTTCCTCCCTGCCCTTAGTCATCTCTTTCATTTGTCTCCATGAATTTGCTTATTTTAGATACCTCATATGAGTGGAAACTTATATTTATCCTTTTGGTTCTGTTTTTCTTTCACTTAGCATAATGTCCTCAGGGTTTGTCCATGTTTAGCATGTGCTGGAATTTCTCCTTTTTAAAGGCTGAGTAATATTCCCTTGTGTGTATAGACCACATTTTGTGTATCCATTCATCCTTTGATAGATATTTGGGTTATTTCCACCTTTTGGCTGTTGTTACGAACACTGGTGTACAAATACCTGCTTGAGACTCTGCTTTCCATTATTCTGTGTATATACCTAGAATTGGAATTGCTGGATCATATAGTAAATTCTACATTACTTTTTGAGGAACTACGAAACTGTTTTCCACAGTGGCTGCACCAATTTATATTTACACCAGCAATGCACACGTTTTCTGATTTCTGACATCCTTACCAACACTTATTCTTTTCTGTTTTTTCGGGTTTTGTTTTGTTTTGTTTTTTGATAATAGCCATCCCGACGGACGTGATGTGGTATCTTTCTGTGGCATTGATTTACGTCTCCCTAATAATTAGGGAAATCTTCTCCTGTGCTTGTTGGTCATTTGTATATCTTCCTTTGAGAAATGTCTATTCAAGTCTTTGCTCATTTTAAAATGGAGTTTGAAATAACTCACATGTTGGGGGCAATATATGAGAAATAATTTTTGGCTCCGAGGATGACTTTTTGTTTTTTTTTAATAACATTCTCAAAACAAAGAACACAGTATTTTCTAAGGTCAAATTCATAGTAGACGTGAAAGTTGAACAAGTGATAGGAAAAGGCAGCTGACTTTCAGTGTGTTCTGGGTGAAAAGAGGGCCACTCAGAACCAAAGATCATCTGTGAAATAAGGAAGCAGAAAATCTTTATGGTTACCATAATGCCTAAGAAACAGAGAAAAGCATATAATAGTACCTCAGTAGCCTGGGGGTGGGCGGGGTCAGGGTATAACCGAGAAGTATTTCACGCGCCATGACTTTGAGGCAAAACTTGCTGGGGAGAGGCGAGAGCTGGAGATGCGGGGTCGCCAGAAGACGGAGGTCACTGAGAGCGCGGGTCTGGCAGTTTTTCAACTGAACAGCATAAGCCACTCAAGAGCCACTCAGCCGGCCTGGCCGGGGCCTATTAGTGCCAAGTAGAAAACCAGCTTCGGACATTTTAGCAACCGAATTTTGTGAACTAGCGAGTGTTAAATGCCTAGTCCCGCGCTGCCATCACTTCTAGGAGGTCTTCAGTAGGGGTTTAAAATCTGTTGGATGATAAAGCGATCATCCGGAGTCAGGGCCCCCAGTCCCGCAGGCTGACCTGGGCGCGCTTCAGCAAACGAGCAGTGCGCATTCCTTCCTGCTGTGAGCCGGCGTAGGAGTTTTTAAAACGTTAACAGACCGAGAGGCCTAGAGCAGCGCTCCTTGGGATGCAGAAAAGGGTTCAGAGATTTGGTGGTCCTTTCTCTGGCCCCCAGGCTCCAGCCTGTTTCCTCTGATTCACAGGGTGTGGTGCACTCCGGGTACGTGGGAGGCCAAACCCAGAGATTCGGCTCTGGGAATGGCAGTCCCTGCGGCCTGCAAAGGCCGGACCTCACACCCCTCCCCACGCCTTCCCTGCTCAACACCTCAGTCCAGTTCGTAACATCTCAATATGGTTTTTAAGCAGATCGAGACTAAGGGCTCTGTTCAGCCCACACAGGGGCCCTCGGAGGACGCGCGGCCGATCTCAGGGATGTGAGATGAGAGTTTGGGGGCTTCTGGGGAGCAGGGAGAAGAGCCCTCCCAGCCCGCAGCCGCTGGCTCCCTTCAGACCGAGTTCCAACGCCGCGGGTCACGGGCATGGAAGTTAGTCTAGCTGCGGCCGGCGCTCCGCCTGGATTCCAGGTTTGGTGTCCAGACACTAACCTTGGGGCGTCGGAGCTGTGCGCCAAGTCCAGGTCCCCGACTCTGGGGGCCCCCCGGCCGCAGATCGCCTCCGTCCCGCGAAGCCCGGAGCTCCCACCCAAGGCAAGGCTTTAAAAATAGCCCCGACGAGATTCAGGCAAGAGGAAGGAACATTTTTTTTTTAATGTGTAAAAAATGTTTTGCTTCTGGTAGGGAACACTACCGCTGCAAGTTCCAGCACATAGGGCTCCCTCCGCGCGCACCCACGGCCATCTCCGCCCCTCGGGCCAGGCGCGGGCACTGTCTCCCGGATCCGGATTTGGGGAGCGCAAGTGCCCCCTGTGGCCGGCCCGCGCCTGACCCCACGGGCCTGAGAAGACAGAAGCGGCCGGCGTAGGGGCCCGGGAGGAAGTTGGAGCCGCGGGGCCAGGAAGGGGGCAGGTCGGCGCCGCGGGCCTGGCGGGGGCCCCACTGAGCCAGGGCCACCCCGGGGCGCCGTGCCGAGGTCCGCGCGGACTCGCGTTCCCCCACGTGGCCGGCCGCCCGGGGCCCCACGTGGAAGGGGCGGAGGAGGGTGGAGGGAGGGCCAGATTCGCAGCCGCTGCAGCTGGACCCCCAGCCCTGCCCGCGAGGCCCCAGCGCTTCGCTAGGGCCTCCCAGGCGGGGCCAGGCCGGGGAGTGCCCGCCGCGCCCGGCCCACTCGCCCGCCCGCCGCGCCTGTGTGCACTTTCGCGGAGCCACTAATCCCCCGAGAGAGGCGATTTGTAGTGAAGAGTATCTGTAGGGGGCGAGGCCGGCCCATGTGGGGTTGTGTCATTGGTTTGTAAAGAGAGACCCCGCCTTTGCCCAAAAAAAAAAAAAAAAAAAAAAAAAAGGAGCGAGGAGTGAGCGAGCGGCGACCCTCACCTCGCCTCCCGCCTCGCTCCTGCGCAGCCGGCGGCCACCGGGAGACGCGGCCGCGCCGCTTCTTTCCCTTTCCTTTTCTCTCCGTTTTCCTCCTCCTTCCCCGGAGGAGAAAACAAATAAAGAAGAGCAAATAGCCGGGAGGCGCTCGGCTTCCAGGACGCTCCCTCCCCCGATCCAAGTTGGAATTAGCATCCTCTTGGGGGTGAGCGCGGCGCGGGGCGTGTGCGGGCCGGGTACCCCCAGCGCAGCCCCCTGCCTGCGGCCGGGCGCGGGGCCGGGACCAGGCTGGAGACGATCGGGAGCCGGGTGGGCGGAGGAAGGGGGTGGGGTGGGGGGGGAAGTAGGAAGAGGGGCGGGAGGGGAGGGGAGAGATTAAGTTTTTGTGTGTGTGTGTCCTTGTGTGCGTGTGTCATTTTAAGGTGGCCCGGGAGCGGCCCAGAGGAACTGGCAGCGGCCGGAGGAGCGAGGGACGGAGCCGGGAGCCATGCCGCGCTGAGGGGGGGCCGCACAGCCGCCGCCACCGCCGCCACCGCCGCCGGGTGGGGTGGGAGGGGCGGGAGCCGCCGCCGCTGCTGCCGCCGCCTCCCGGGTGGGCGCCCTTCGCCGTGGACGCCGGCGGCCCGGGACGAGGTAAGGGGGGCCCCGGGGGAGGGCTGGGACCGCCGCCGCCCCCGCCTCACCTGCGGCCGCGGGCCGGGGGCGCCGCGCCCGCGCCTCACTGCGCCACTGGGGGGGAGGAGGAGGAGGGCGAAGGACACCAAGCCGGCATCCGAGGACATCTTTGGTCTGCGTCCCCGGCCCGGTGTCCCCGCTCGGCGCTCGGGAGTGGGCGCCGGCCTGGGGTCCCTGCCTGCCGCCCCCCGCCGCCGATCGTGCCCGCTGGCCGCCGTTAGCGCCAGGATTTTTGTTGTTGTGATGAGAGTTGATGAATGCGAAGTAGGCGGTCACCTTCCTTCCCATCAGGACTGGCAAAAAAAAAAAAAAAAAAAAAGAAACCCCGAGCCCGGCGGCGTCCGGAGGGCAGCGGCGGCGGCGGCGGCGTCTCGGCGACGGTTTCCTAGGCGCCCCCGGCTCCTGTTCCCGGAGGCCGGTGGGTGCGCGCACGGGGGCCGCCCGCGACCCAGGCCGAGCGCGCGGCGTGCCGCGGGGACAATACGGCCGGATCCCCCGGAACCGGGAGTCCGAGCGCGCGGGGCCTTGCGCCTGCGGGGCGGGGGAGGGGAGCGGGGGGTCCGCTGGGAAACCGGGGCGCGCGCGGCTCCGGGTCCCCAGGGGAGCGGCCCCTGCTGGCAGGGGATCCCGCGCGGCGCCCCGGGAGCGCAAGTGAAAGACGGGAAAGGAGGCGAAGTGGAACCCTTTTGTTTTGCCGGCCCCGCATTGTTGGCTCCTCCGGGCAGCCGGGCCACATCTGCCGCCGCCGCCACCACTGCCGCGGCGGGCTCGGCCCGCCAAAGTCGCAGCGGGGCGGGGGCCTGGGGCGAGCCGGGCGGCGGGCGCGGGCGGGGGCCGAGCTGGCTGGGCATTTCCTCTGCCCGGCCGCGCTCCCGCCGGCACCACTTCCTCCTCACGCGCCGCCGCCGCCGCCGCCGCGAACCCGGCCCGCCCGCCTCCCCCGCCCTGGCCGCACTTTTCGGGTGGGGCGAACCAAAAAGAAAAAGTTTCGCAGGAGGGTCTGGCGAGGGCGCGACCCGGGCGGCGGGGACTCGGCGCGGCGCAGAGGCAGCCGGGCGGCCGCGATCGCCTCTTCCTCCTTGTCCTCCGCGGCGCCGGACGGACCCGCGCGGCCGAGGGGAAGCGCCTTTCTTTCTCTACCTCGCGCTCTTCCCAACGACCCGGGGCAAGTTGGGCAGAGGCGCGCGGGCGCCGGGGCGCGCAGGGTCTTTCACCAGCTGGAGGTCCGCGGCGTGGCCGGTCGTCCGCAGCCCACGCAGCGCCCAGGTGCCGGGAGGCCGCGGGCCGGGGAGCTCTGCGCGGTCACCACTGGCCACGGCGAGACACACACGCGCACATACTCCCTTCGGTGGCTCGCTTTCCGCCGCCGCGGATGGTCACGGACACTGAGTCTGCGTGTGCGCGCGAGTGTGTGTGGTGCGCCCAGCCCTCAAATACTTTTTCCGGAGGCGGCCCAAGCGGCAGTTGGCTCCAAGGGCACCCGGGTTTAGTATTTTACAAGAGAAAGGAGGAATTTTTCGTAGAAATTCCCGCTTGGTCTGCGTCCTTGCGGTGGAGTCTGCTGGCAGTGGCCTGCGTCGTCATGCCGGGCTCACTTGCCCTATCCGGGGTAAACATATCTTTCTGGATTATTCCCCCTTTTTTCTTTTTTAAAGACTGGAGATCGGGTTAAGTTCTTAGAGAGTCAGACGTGAGTGGCTTGAAGGGTAGACAAGAGAATTCTATTCTATAAATATGCATTGGGAATTTAAAATGCTAAGTGCCTTATTTGCAATTCTGTTGGATATTGTAGAGACTGGTATATTTTTATCTGACATGGATAATTTGGAGGGGACGTTTATTTTGGTTAGTTTACTAAGTGATTCTGCCTCCCGACTTTGGCGAAATATATCAAATTCTGGTACTACTCTTTCAGAGAAGACACTCTTCTCTGCTAGCTAGGTGCTTGGGCTCAAAGGCAGTTTAAAATTTACCCCGTGTTCAGTACCTGAGACTGCTGTTCTGCCTCTGGGGTTCTCAAAGTAGAACTTTAGTTTTCATGTGCTTAGGAGAATTCCACTGTTTTGATTTTTTAAAATAAATTTTCTACATTTTGAAGTAATGGGGCTTTAAAGCATCTTGTTTTCATAATCATTTGATTTCAAAGCATACTTCTTAGAGCAATTATAAATCAATATTCAAAATGCTAATTAAAGACTTTCAGAGCAGCTTTAATATAATATTGAAACAGGATTTCTTTTCTCTTTTTTAAGTAAGAGGGACTGTATCTCAGAGTTGAAACACTAAATATCCTTTTGTCTAGCATCAGATCTCTGGGCTGCTCTGACACTCTCTGGTAAAAACCCCTAGTGCCCTTTCTACTGCCCCCCCCCAAAGAAAAGTTAATGAGATGGTAGATTTCAAGCAAAAAAGCAGGCCCTCCTTCTTGCAAAATATGCTTCCAGTTGCCATTGAAGTTGGATGCTAGCTGTGAATGCACTTGCCTTTAATGAAACCAGTTTAATCGTTCACACTCGATCAAGTATAACAGGACCAAACAAAGGAAAGAAGCCAGCATATTTCTGTAGAGCATTGAGGGATTTAGTGTTAAGTGTTGATGTTGGGTCGCCCCCTCCCCCCACTCTGTCCCCTGTTCAAGGGAGTGAGGGTTGAAGGCAAAGGGAATTTATGACACTGATTGGTTTTCTGTGCCCGAGGAGTAGGGGACCCCAGTTTGTCCCTGTAGAAAGCAGTTATTAGAGGGAATTTACAAATCTTGGGTTTGGAGCTTGTTTTGGACCTGACATGGTGCCTTTTGGTTTAATTCTTTTTCCTGTTTGGGAAGATAAAGCGAAGGGGTATGTTTCCTCCCTCCTTCCTGACTGTACATTAATAAAGCTATAGGTGGAGGGTGCTCTGCGTAGCTCTGCAGATTGGAGCTCAGAGCCCTGTTATTTAGGATTTCACTTGGGATCTTTGAACATCCTGAACTGGGTGTTCTCCAGGGGGAGGGGCAGGGCAAATTGCCTTTTCTTAACTGTGATTTAAACAATAACAACAGCAGCAAAAAAATCTCTTTGTCCCTAAAATGTATTTCTTTGCCAGGCTCGAATTGCAGCTTACGCCTGGCAGTTAGTCATTGACTGGGTGAAGAAATATTTGCAAAGTGTGTCTCTTTAAAGTTAAAAAAGTAAAAAAGTTTGGCTACTTAAAAACAAACACTACTAGCATTGTAAAAATACACCAGTGACATACTTTGTGAGATATTTTGGCCTTTTAAGACTCAGGGCACACCTGTTCCTGTGGAGTCGAGTTTGCTTTCCCTGGCATTGTTAATCTGGTCGTGTACACAAGACGAAACAGGAAAACTTGCTATTCGTATAATTATTAACTAGCCATCAGTTACCCTTTCAGGGAATAATCAATAACTTTACTCTTGACTTGTAAAACTCCAGAAAGAAATCCTATTCATAAGCCCTGAAAGTGTTTTAATGAGAGACGAAGTGAAACAAACAGCCACAACAACAACAAACAAAGCTGCAAAATCAACCTGCAACTTTTTCAGTGTTCTGAGTAGCTAGCGACAAGGTAAATGAAGGATGAGTATGTAACATAGGTACCGAGCAAGCACATCGCTGGATTGGGAAAGGATATTATTGCTGGCAACTGTTAAAATGCCAAAGCAAAGAGAGTTCAGGATAACTCGCACCGTTTGAAATCCTTGAGACTCAAAACCAAAAGGGCGGCCCCGCTGAGGTCTAGCACCAGAACGCCATTTGCCAACAATTCTCTTCCATCATGAATCATTTTTGAAGGCAAAGTTATCCCCTTTGCACTTAACACTTTCCCTAAATGGAAAAAATTTAAAGAGTTTACAGCAATAGCAGAATGGCCACCCCAGTTGTCATTTTTTACCACTGTCATTTTAATATAGAAGGGCTGTCATCATAACATATGTGAGTACAAGCCTGGGTCCCTCTGTTACTAATCTTTCTATCAGTGAAAAGCAGCAGCCCAAGTGTCTCATGTCCCTGATACAGGCCACAAATATATATTCATATAGTACGTGATTGGGAAAGGAAATTTATCTTTTCAGCAGGGCACAGCTCCTGTAATATTTCCACCACCTGGCTGATAGTTCAATTACAGAGGGTGGAACACATTTCTGTAGTAATTTAAAAATGGGAGTGCAGTTTGCTTGACTCTTCAAATAGAAGTTCTTGTACTTAACACCATGTATTGAAATATCGGGGTGTCTTATTCCCCAAGAATGTTCCTGCACTTCACTACCTAAGGAATGCTTGTGTGGACTTCCACTACTGCAGACTTTTAGTAGGCACATGAAAATGCTGGAATGGATCTGCTCTCAGAGGCTATACTGCCTGGGCAGTATCAGTTTTCTCCCTTACAGCTGGTAAGCATGTCCTAATTTACACTCCTGCGGTTAAAGTTACAGCATCCTGGGAAAGAAGGAAAAATGCAAATCTTCCCCCCCAATCAATCTTTTGAAGTTAATTTTTATTCAAGTCTGTGTTTGATGGAATATGTATCAAAGACTTATGAAAGGGTATTTTTTTTCTTTTTTTTTTTTTAAACACACCTATCTCTGGGTTTGGAAAATTACATTTAATAATTGCTAAAAACTTCAGAACCATTTTTAAGGTGTTCAGTGTTTCTTTTGATCATGATTTAATGGATAGTATCCAAAAGCCGTCAGTGTGACTCTAATGATCTTCACAAATTAATGTTTGGGCTTCATCTGTCGCTTGCTTTTAGCCATCATCATTATTAGTATTTCAAGCCTAAATTATGGCTGCACTTGGACCTTCAGGACCGCACCAGTGAAAAGAAGGGCTTTGCACATTGTGCAAAAAAAAAAAAAAATGGGATTCACAAATGAATACAGAATGTACAATAGGGAGCAAGCCAGGCCATTGTTTGTGTGGAATGTTGACTATGGGAGCCAAGGGGCAGTTTCG